TTGACAAAAGAGTTTTGTCTAAAAGTTTTTTAAACCCCTACATAAAGGAAGAGGACCTTCATATCTGAACTTCACTCTTTCTCTCTGCATCATTTAAAACTTGGTGAATAAATAACGTCATTTTAATATTAAACAATGGGACTAACATCTGCTGCAGTATCTAAAAAACTTCTTAGGCCTGTGTATCCATATTAGCAATACACAGCAAAGTAAGCCTCCTCCCTGCAGAGGTGATGTATGACACAGTGAAATGATTGACACGGTGACTTCACCACCTCTAACACCGGAGCCTCCAGGATCTCCACCCACTGAGCGTCACGTCTCCTCGGCTCAGCTGTCGGAGGAGATCCCGCCCGGGTCTCACTTTGCCGGCTCTTCTTCCCACACGCACAGCACACTGGTCTACGCAATTACTGCACTTGAAGGCAGCACGGGCTCCTCAGGGAGTGCAGGTGGAGGAAATATAAGAGCTCAGGAGATATTTAGTTTTTAGAAACACGTCTGCTGCACTCACACTGTAGAGCTCAACGATTATATTCATTTGACTTTATAAGGGTATTTTTTTAAAGTTGGCAGTGCCGGTGTCTCTCATGCGTCTCCGGGCGGTGCGCCTCTGCGGGCTCCTGGCGGCGCTGTGCGGGCTCCTGGACGTGCGCTCCTGCGGGGCTTACACGTGTCCGCGCATCTGCCGCTGCAGCCCGGACACTTTCCAGTGCAGCCGGGACTCTCAGCTGGCCTCCCGCCGGACAGCCTCCAGATCCATGGCTCGACTGTGAGTAACGCCAACTATACCTTGGTGCCCCTGAACGCATCCACCCGTTCTGCTACACTTCCACTTGTCTCTTCTTTTCCTCTGGGACAGACTATTCCTGACTTCTCTCTTATTAAGTAACTTGTCGTTCGTTTTTATGATATGATTTGTCATAAATGTAACAGCTGCTCGAGGATGAGCTGATGGAGCATTTTGTTCCTTTTATTAACAGCAAGTAAATGTGGAGTTTACAACTTTATTTCTGCTTGTTACAGGAGGTTCACTCATCTGCCCTTGAAACAAGTCCCCACTCATGCCTTCAGGGAGCTGATCAACATCACGGTGATGTAAGTCCCCTGCACTGCTTCCTATACATTTGTTAATGGTGACCAATAGTACATTCTGATTGATTGATTGTTTTAATATTTGTTTTAGTTTTTTCTTTAACATGTTCACAAGGCACAGTATTCTAGTTATTCTTTCATGATTATTTCTCATTTTGAAAAAGAGTACAAGCAAAGGAGAGTGATGAGTATTCAAACTTAAGCAAAAAACTCAAATCGAGTTGTGTTGTATATTCACCCTATTAACTCAATTAACTCAACTGGAAATAATTTCCATGTGGAACTCAAATATATTGTTCATGCAACTCTAAATAATCCTAATATTATCAATAATCAGTGTGCAAATCCAGTTGAAGTGTCTTGTGTAGGACAATTACAAAAAACGTTCAAATTAACCTACAAATGCCTTCTCTATATCGCCGTCTATAGGGGAGACATTGTGTGTGCAGAGCATTCGTAATGTCCATTTTTGATTTTTTTTAAACTATAGCATCCAAGTATTGAATTATTCATAAATATGTGGGAGCATATAACAGTTAAGAAATAAAGAAGAAATAAAACATTTGAACATGTACAGACGTCCACCCTCGGTCAACAGAAGCCTGGAATGGCTCATTGGGTCATGTTTTAAAGGATTTAACAAAACACTGAAGTAGCACACTGTGGTGAACTCTTGTAGAATGCTGAAAAAAATTCCCATTGTTGAGTTATGATGAATTATTAGTTGATAATATTAACAATGAAAAACTCTAGCGGAGAACTATGTGGCCTAATTTTCTAGAAATCAGATATCATTGATATTTGAAACACAATTCTGAATATATATATATATTTTCATGGCCAGGTAAACAATAATTAAGACTCCACACAGTAATTTATTACAGTAAATTCTTGTATCTTGACATTTGCTCATGACTGTTAATTGCACTTCAGCTGGACATCGTTATAAGGGAAGAAAAACACATGTTAACACACGCTGATGTCATTAGCCTGAAAGCCATGCATGCCATTTTTCTCACAGCAGTACACTTAAGTCTCTATTATTAGCCATTGGGTACTTGTCCCATTTAGTCATCAGGAATATAGACGTGACTGTTATGTATGCCAGTTGTGCCATTATGATTCAGCTATAAATCAGAATTATTTGTAGTAGTTCATATTCTTTGTTAAAATGATTGTCTGAAAAGCAGAGAGTGGTCTAGTAAAAATATCCCACTGCTGTGAAACACTGAAGGCCACTTACATGAGCTATGAGCTAGACAGGCTTCAAGCTCTTATCTTTCAATAACCAGATGACAAAAGAGTGGTCTTTATCAGTAAAAACTCAAAACTGTCCATCAGACTAGAAATACCATCATATAAATAAAAGGAATCATCTGTTCCTTGGTTCAAATAGCAACAAGACCAACATGTTTCATATTCATGTTTGCAGCTACTAAACTTAGTCTTAAAGCCACAACATTACCTCAAATGGGTTTCACCAGTCACTTAATGTAACAACATTGAAACATTAAATAAATATGGTTGGTGTAAATAAGAGCCAAAGTCAGTCATTCAAGTTTTAAGAAGAGATTTAAAAGAAGCCGGAGCTCAGTCACCTTTGTTACAAGGTGAGACCTGACAGTATCCAGCAGGGCTCCATCTGTGGATCCACGCAGTCTCATGTTTAGCATCTTCATGTGAGAGGTTCATTATGTTCACATTTTGTTTCTAAAAGTACAAGTTAAAAAATACATTCAAGTTTGAAAGATTCTGTTTTTTTTCAGCCCAGAGCAGAGTAGCCATGTAAAATATGCGTCAAGGTAGACTGACACAAGTAGCTGCATGTGGTGCGTCAGCGTCCTCCAGATGATTGTGTGAAAAAAGCTTTTCGTGAGCGCTCAGTGGTAATTACGACACCAAACAGTGCAATCAGAGGAGGGGATAAGAGGGAAAAAAATATATATATAGACAAGCAGTACTCTACAGATGGAGACGTTTAATTGTTTTTCAGTTTGAAATGGAGGCAGAGTGGCGTTAACCCTAAAGTGTCAGCTGATTACAGCAGAGCCTGGGACCGAATCTGTGATTACGCAAAAAGAAGATGGAGAGAGCGACTCGGAAAGAGGAAAGTCAGCCATCAGAAAACAAAGTGTTCAAGGACGAACCAAGAACTCTTGTTGACTTTTGTTTGTCTCCACTCGTCTTTGTTTAGTCCTCCTTTTTAAACATCTTCACTTAGTCTTCTTGGCCCAGATGCATCCTTGATGTATGTTGAGAGCTTTTCCAAACATGAGGTGAAGCGACTGTGTGCGTGTGTGTGTGTGTGTGCGTAGTGCCCTAGAAGTATGAATTGTATTTTAAAATGTCCCTAACGGTTTGTATCCCTGTATCAATCAACTCTGTCCCATTTCAGAGAAAGACAGTACATAAATCCGTAACGTGCACTAGTGTCGCTCTTGATACCCTCTTCACTAAAAATCCACATTTGCCGCCTGGATCTGAGAGAATTCAAGAGTCATTTGTTCATCTGTTGACTGATGTGGAGCCATGTCTTTGTTGTGACAGTGAGATTTCCCAGAGCGACTGCATCACGCAGATCCAGCGACACGCCTTCCTCTCCCTCCACAGCCTGGCACAAATGTAAGTGACACCTACCTTCCACCGAACGTCACATTCGAACGCCACGAAAGCAATTATTAATTTGAACATCTGCTGTGTGTGTGAGTTGCATTTCATTTAAGTGTCGTCTCCCAATTACAAGGTGGCGTGTTTAATCCTCGACTTTCAGAGCAGCTGATGGATGCATGGGTTCGTTTGTTTTTTTTGACAGCAACTGACTTCACTTGTAATGACTCATATTTTTTCCCTCGTTTGCAGTTCTGTTCAGAACATCAACCGTCTTAGGTCTATTGAAAAAGGGGCCTTCACCGACCTACCCAAACTGGAATATTTGTAAGTCTCTCTTTTATATTATTTTTCACCTATTGAAACCCCACTGAGCCGCCGGTGGGTTTATCATTGATAGAATCTCAGTCTCTGAGAATTGTTGAAAGGTGAATTTATATTAAACTAGGTCAGTGTCCTCTAAACCTGCATGTTTGGTATGTTCTGTTCACTTGACCTGTGTCAACGCTCCAGAGTTTTTTATAAACAGGCTATAAACAGGTGCAGAGTGAAGTTAGAAAACTTTGTGTTTATCATACCTGGTTTATCAACAATGAAGATTTTATAGTTTCATGAAATAAACTGCTAAAGTGAATTTCTAAATTACTGTCCATGTGTTTGGCTCACATATAAGCTTGAATTATTTACTAATCTAGTAGTGAAAGCTTTTATGTGGGAAACTTAAAGTAGGCCATCTGGAGGTTAAGGTTAAAGGTAATAGGTCACTTCAGCCAAAGACTATGTTTACATGGACACTTGTATTGTCCGATATTTACCTGATTAAGAAAACAGTCTGAATAAAATGCTGCCATGTAAACATCACTTTCTGAATAACTTAGCCTACAAGGTCATACTCAAAGTAATATATTCTATTAGCAACTCTTGTAAACATCACAAACAGAATTATGTAATTTGGAATATATAACTATATAACTGGGAGCTTGGAGTTTGTAAGGAGAGGGCATCCAACAGGCAGGGGGAGCTCAAATGAACAAGTTGCATTATGGGAACTGTAGGAGCTTTGAAGCGTGATCTATATTAGGAGCTAAAAGTCAAGATGTCTCAGCCTCTGTTACATGAATTCTGACTCTTGAAAGTGTTTTTCTCTCTGTGCTGTAGCTGCTCAACACCATGTGGAGCATGAGTCCTTCATTTTTCTGTCTAAATACTAAATCTTCTCTCGTGAAATCTTTGTTCTATGCAAAAGAAAGTCAATATGGAGATACTTTTAATTATTTAGCATTTATCTCTACAAGTTAACAGTGAAGACAGATAAAAAAGAGCGACGTGATAAGATAAACAATGTTTAAACTGAATTGTTTTCCAGAACTGGCTCCTGAAATCTCTCAACCGTCTCTGCCGCTTCTCTTCACAGGAGCATCTCTAACACAGGGATGACAAATTTCCCAGACTTTACAACCATCTCGTCGTTGGTGCCTAATATCATTCTGTAAGTAATCCCATTAAAAAAAACATGTTTCTCAATTGGATTAGTCTTTCCCGCATGTTGCAAGACTACACGTTTATCATTTTCTTACCCTCAAGCACAATCCAAGTTTCTCACTCTGAGGCCAGTTTTAGTTTTATCTATCAATGTCACGATGCCACCAACCCTGCAACAAATCCTCCAACTGGGTCACAGTTCATCACACGTCTTGTTTTTTTTATGCATATACATCATTTTGTCTAACTGATTATTTGACTGGTGGATGTTATCTCTTCTGTGTGCAGGGAGATGGAAGACAACATGAGGATCGACTTCATTCCTGCCAACTCCTTCCAGGGTCTCACAGACGAGTATGTTGACATGTGAGTACAGGCGCCAAATTCTTTTTTTTGCTTCTATATTATCAGAGCTGAGAGCAACAATTTGTCACCAATGGTTAAGAATCTTTAATTTTTTTTATATGCTTATGTAATTAAATGTTCAGTTCTCTGACCTCGGTGATAGATGCTTCTGACAACAAACTAAAATTAAGAACATTGTGTCCTTGGCAGGAACCTGGTTAGAAACGGCTTCAAGGAAATTAAGTCTCATGCATTTAATGGAACCAAGCTCAACACATTGTAAGTATCTGGATCATTAAGATTTTTCCCTCATCCAGTAATAAGCAACAGCACTAGTTGATACATTAGTTTGCTGTTAAGTATGTTGTTCAGGTTTAGGGTTCTCCTTTTCTTAATCATGAAAAACGCAGTGTACCAGTAAACAAACATTATGTAAGACTAAACAAAGATAGGATGCCCTGTTGTTTTTTTGCTCTGCCTCCGTACTGCTGAATGTCGATGGGGACAAGATATGTGCAGACACCATGCAGTCTAAAAATAATGCTCATCTTCCTCAGTGTCAAATTGAGAAAACTAAAAGTAGATGAAAAATGGTTTGGGGCACTTTTGGCCATTATCGTGTCATTTTACATTTTCTATCATATAGCATGTTAACTGCAAAGCTACAGTTGTGAGTGTGTGATTTTTTTTTATGTCTTTTGTAGGATTCTGAGGGATAACAGGTATCTCAGTTACATTCAAGAAGATGCTTTTGAAGGAGCCACAGGTCCAAGTTCTCTGTAAGTAACAGTTGATAAAACCAATAAAACAATCATGACAATAGGCTTAAAAATCAGCAGTGGCTGAATTTACAGCTGCCATAATCTTTATTTTCATATTAACAGGCTTGCATGACTTCTTGTGCATGGAAGTGGTCTTTCATAATAACAAACCCACAGTGAATGGTCCGAATCTTGCAGTCTGCCTCAGTTCTATTTAAAAGCTTTAAAGTGTCTTTAAGCTTGTCATTTTAAATTTTATGGCCCTAAATGTTACTGTTTTGGTTCGATCACTGTTTTCAACTGTCATTATCAGCAATGGCAGACGGACATTTTGTCGAAGAAATTTCTCAACGACAAAGTTAGCATGTGGCTAATGAACTTTGTTGAACATTTGGCAGCTTAAGAGCTGGATATTTTCTCAGAATTGGGTGAAGATGAAAACAGAGGTAAAAGCAGAGTAACAACAACATTTCTGCGTCGTACGATAATGTGCAGAACAGACCTTTGACATGAAATTTGAGTTGAGTATAACATGTTACTTTCTAATGCACAGTTACAATCATACAAGTCTATCTTTTGTTGTTTAAATCAACAGAATTGCGGAGATCATATTTGAACTGGGTCAGTTAAGCAAGAATATTCATAACAGTGTTTATCATTTCATTCTATAAACACCAGGGTAGCGACAGCGCGTCTGTGTAAACAACCAACTAGGCAGCCAGGACTGCTGAATGCTGATTAGAACTGAAGAGCGTGCAGCTCGGCAAGGTCCTTTGATTGTGGGCTACCCCATTTTGTGATATGAAATTCCCTGTTATCTTGGTTATGAATTAGTGTTTGTGGTACTCACTGACATGCAGGAAGCTTGTCAGTGAGGTTACAAAATGTCAGGTTAAAGTATTCAATCAAATGAGGGACCAATGTGGAGGCTGAATATTATTTTTACTTTGTATAAAAAGAATTCAATCCTGAGTAAATGTCATTGTAATTACTATTTCCATGCATTTTGAAAGTCAATGTGGTCTCTTAAGAACAACCTCGTGAAAAGCACTGATGTAAAGGCTTGGCTGCCACAGTCACTAGGGCTCACCTGTGGGAGATTATGTAGATTTGCCTGAAACAGCATTTTCTCACCAGCATTAACAAAACAACAATTTCATGGGAAAGCCCGGCTTTGTATTTCTCCAGCAGGGTTTAAATCAGCCAGTAAATCCAAAACGAGATAGACCAAAAGCTGTCTTAGTACCTCGTGATTAATCTTTTTTTATTGGAAGTAACTTTACTAATCGTCACTAAAATGTATGTCTATGTTTGTGATTCAGGGATGTTTCCTCCACAGCTCTGAGTTCCCTCCCACCTAAAGGGTTAAGGCAAGTGGGGTTCCTTAAAGCCGGCTCTGCCTTTGCTCTGAAGAGCCTCCCTCAGCTGGACAGCCTGGCTGAACTGCTGGAGGCTGAGTTCACATACCCCAGCCACTGCTGTGCCTTCCACACATGGCGTCAGAAAGAAAGGTAACAGAGGTGCACCAAATCCATTCACATGTGCTTAAAAAAAACTAAAGCTCTATCAAATGAATATAAATCATCAATAGTTTGTCATTTGCAGTGTATGATGTCTAATCCTTTCTTTCTTTTATTAAAAGGGAAAGTGCCTTGAAGAACTTCACGTTTTGTGATCTCAGCGAAACAGAAATGTAAGTTGCATCACCTCCTTAGGAACTGTACAAAAGCACTGGGGTCAGGGAGGAGAATTTAGTATTTCACTTTAACAGCATCCTCCTCTAAGCTTGAAGTGATGCAGCTCTTTAAGCCATTGATTACTAACAGTTAACAAATTATTTGAAAATTAGTTCTCTCACATGCAAATCATGCAAATGGAGTGGAATCAGCAATCTGCAAAATCGTGAACTAAAACCACTATATATTTCAGCCATTCTCTATTTTTAGAACCTAGAGCTGTAACTGTGACTTCAATCGTAATTGAATAAAATTCCTTTTTATGCCAGTTCTTTAACATTTTGTTATGATTGTTACAAATAATTTATTTTCCTTTTTAGATTAAAACTAGTAAATGGAAAAAACAAAGCACATACTTTGCCTTGATCAGTTGATGGGAATCTTAACATCTGTGTATCCTTTAGAAAACCCACTTCTGATGGTGCAAATCCTCTTGACGACATCAACTTCCAGTATCTTGACCTGGAGTTCGATTGTCTTATCAACCCTATCATCAAGTGCACCCCGAAGCCAGACGCCTTCAACCCTTGTGAGGACCTGCTGGGCTTTCCCTTCCTGCGCTGCCTCACCTGGATAATCTCTATTTTTGCTGTTACCGGAAACCTGGCTGTTCTAGTTATTCTTCTCATCAGTCACCACAAGCTAACCATCTCCCGGTTTCTCATGTGCAACCTGGCTTTTGCCGATCTGTGTATGGGGCTCTACCTGATGCTCATCGCCTTCATGGATCACTACTCCCGTCACGAGTACTACAACCATGCCACCGACTGGCAGTTGGGGCCTGGGTGTGGCATAGCAGGGTTTCTGACCGTGTTTGCCAGTGAGCTATCAGTGTATACACTGACTGTGATCAGCATTGAACGCTGGCACACCATCATCAACGCCATGCATGTCAACAAGAGGCTGCGGATGCACCATGTGACGACCATGATGGGGGTGGGTTGGGGTTTCTCTCTACTGGTTGCCCTGCTCCCTCTAGTGGGGGTCAGCAGTTACAGCAAAGTGAGCATCTGTCTCCCCATGGACATCGACACGCTGGGCTCACAGGTCTACGTGGTGGCTGTGCTCATCCTCAACGTAGTCGCTTTCATCGTAGTCTGCTACTGTTACATTTGCATATACCTGAGCGTTCACAACCCAGAGCAGTCGTCTACTCGTCACGGAGACGCCAAGATTGCCAAACGCATGGCTGTGCTCATTTTCACTGATTTTATTTGTATGGCGCCAATCTCATTCTTCGCCATCTCTGCAGCCCTACGCATGCCTCTCATAACCGTCTCTCACTCAAAGATCCTGCTCATCCTTTTTTATCCCATCAACTCCCTCTGCAACCCTTTCTTATACACCATCTTCACTCGGGCTTTCAGGAAGGACGTGCGCCTGCTGCTGAGTCGCTGCTGCTGCTGCCAGGCCAGCACCGACTTCTACAGGTCACAGACTATGGCCTCACACCTCACCCATAACCAAAAGAGGTCCAACAGAAATCCTCACTCCCATAGCTTCTATGCCTATCACATCAAGATGAAGGGCTGCTTTCTAAACAAGGGAACCACATGACCCTCGAAATAAGAGAAGAGAATAAGAGAATTTTGTTATGAACTTAAAGGCAGCATCAGCTGTCTCGTGAAAAATGTAGCATTTCTTCAAAAGTTAGGTCAGATCGTGTCTTGTCTGTGGCAGGCGTCACATTGGCTTCTTTTACAATGTGAGATTTTTATCAGTCAGGACCAACAGACCACATGCTGAAGGTAACAAGTGCTGCAGCCTCCACTTCCACAGGTGATGTGCAAAGCAGCAGATGGAGCAGGAACTAATCCAACAGGCCAGCTCATTTGTACAGCTATCCAAAAATCACATGTCTGGTAATGTAGTGAGATGAAGTTATATCAAACTGCACTTTAGTAAGATATTACAAGAACAGATTTAGTTCTATTAAAGATCAAGAAGTGTAAATAAGAGATTATTTATTTTGCTGTACTTTTGCTGTAGATTGAGTTCTAAGTTTGAATGAATACAATAAAGTGAATGTGAGTAAACGTGAGTCTGTTTTAGCTCATTACAGATGAGTTTTACTGCCATCTATTGGACTCAAGAGACAAGCCACAGGACCCACAGGAACTCAGTTAAAGCTGTGGCCTGGTTTATGAGAAATATTACTGCTGTTTAAAATGTCCTCAAGTTTTTAAATAAGAAAAAAATTAACTGTGTTCAACTCATTGGTTTTCATTTTTTAACGCATTTAGAAAACAGCTGTCAAGATAAAAATATAAAGATTGACCCCCATTTCTTTTCCACATTTTCTTTCAGACTTACACATTAATTACCTTATGTTTTCATTGCTGTTTGTCTGGTTGCAGAATTTCACAAAAACTACTGAACCATTTTTATTGAAAGGGTGGTGTATGGGCCAAGGAACAAACCATTTCATTTTGGAGCAGTAATTGCAAGATTGAGTGTTAGCCTTGGCAGAGGGACGTGTTCTCCAAGTGTCCTTCTCGTTCCCCTTTGTGGTTGATAGTTTTCTTGAGATATACTCTCATATTATGCACCATTTGTGCTGCACTCCGTTAACATATCATATTTTTGTGAACTTGACATAGCAACAGCAAAAAGTACTTTCCAAGAATTATCTGCTTTTGTTTGTTGGCAGGATCACACAAAACTACTGAACAGATTACCACAGAAAATCTGGGCAGATCCAGTTTCCCCACTTTCTTTAACATTCAACATTGTCATTCTCAGAGAATAATTCATGGGTCTTAAAGGCGTGTAGAATTTTGTGATATCTAGTGTTGAAATTGATTGTTGCAGCTGAACACCCCTCACCTCGCCCTCTCCTTCTAAACATGAAAAAGAACCGGTGGTAGCCTTTAATTGTCATAAAAACTCAAAAGGTGTTTAGTTTGTCCAGTCTGGACTAATGTAAAAAAAAACATGGTGGCCTCCGTAGAGAGGGTCCCCTCGATGTAAATATGAAGTATTTCAATATAAAGGGCCTTTTCTGGGGTAAAGAAAACTACAATTCATACAATTCAGATGAAACGAACTAGTGAAAACATCATGACTATTCTACTTTCATGCCAATAGTTCCCTTTCACCTAAATCTTACACACTGGACCTTTTTAATGGTGACAAAAATGTTATTTGATGATATTTATGAGTGTGCAATCCGGCCCTCCAAAATGAAGGTAAGCACTCTCTCAGTGACCTTCTAGTTTTGTTTGTTGAGTTTTTGTTGGAGCTCTCAAACCACCTCCATATTTCTTTCAAGCCTTAAGTGACACTTTTGGTATCAAAACCCTCGTCAAGAATTTACATCAATCTCAGTGTGCAGGCTGGCATTTATGAATTCTGTCTTTTCATGTGGCTTCATATACAGCAGACAACAGGGATCTATTTGATTTCAATCTTTCACTAGAGAAGAAAGAAAAAAAACCTAATTGTAAAAACTGATATGACAACGAGGGAACAGCGGCTTTGAACAGAAAGAACAGAGCTTATCGACTCCACCACCACAGTACAGTCAAGTGTATTTGATTCATGATCAAAAGGCAAAACAGTACAATGCCAGAAAATCAAACGGCATGTTGGTACCTTCAGAGCAACATATTCATGACAAAGAAAAACAAACTCTGAGTCAGATAATGTTTTGTTCAAAAGAAAACTATTTAACAGAATATTATACAACACAAATTCATGCTGGTTTTCTCCGTAAATTGGATTCACAGGCACACTGTAAGTTATCGTTTGTAGCATCGTAAATGACACAGGATTGCTCTGGTAATTACCTTACCCCCCTCCAGAAAAAGAAAACAAACAGAAGTATCAGTAATTTTGCACAGTGGTGTTTAAACTTGCAGCTCTGTGAGCCAAATTACACCAACAAGAGGTCTAAATTCAATAATTGTCTTTCCCTATTAAATCATCGCTTTCCCTCTTTCAACACGATTATCTGATGTGTTCAGGAGAACTAAAGCTCATTACCACTCAGCTTCCCCAACAGCTTTAGAGAACACGTAGTCCCTGCCCGCGTAGCACATCACACCATCTTTCAAATGAAACTTCCAGCGGTTCTTGCTGCGGTGAATCTGCAATAGACATCACATTTAACAATATTAACAGACGGTATTCAATGCTCGGCTTTGCTGAGAGGTAACAAATTGAGATGTTTCTTACTTTGTCGTACTGGCAAACGATTACGTTGTCGGTGTCAAAGAGATCCGGGATGTCCTGCTCAATCACGTCATCGCCTGAGTTTAAGGGATCCTCATGAACAGAAGTGTTGGAGTGTAAATTAATGTAAAATCGAATAAACCCTTTTGAGAAAAAAGGGTGTTTCCTGCTAAATATAACTGAAAAAAATCAATTTGTAAAGAGAGCCACAAAGTTTAAATGCAAAAAAAGACAGAACATCAAAATTCCTTGTCACTCACCTCGTCTTCTGCAGAGAGTTTATCTGCTCCCTCACTGTCACTGCTGGAGGAGATGCTGTTGCCGTCGCTGCTTCCACCTCCCTCCTGCAGGGCCTTTATGGCCTCTGCATTGATTATACCAAGAAAGTCATTCTCCTCCAACGGACCTCCACCCTCCTCCTCGACATCAGAGTTGTCTGCAGGACCGTCCAGCTGAACGATGTCCGAGAGTTCACTGTAGCTGTAGTCAAGGTCCAGCTTAACAGGAAATGCAAGAAGAAATGGCAACGTTAAGTTATTTGAAATTTGAACTTGTGTGTGACCAACTATGATTCTCTGCACAATTCAATTGCATACTTGCTTCAGATGACATCCCAGTACTGTTGTTTGCTTTTAAAACACTTAGGCTATTGAGATTTTAATTGAATCCACATTTAAGTAATTTAAATATAAAAGAATGATTAAGTGAAAGTTTGAAAACATGAAAAATATTTCTTCCCAAAGCTTTTATTCCAGAGAAATTAAAAGGGGCACTGCAAGAATATTAAGGAGAGTATGGGTCAAACTCCAAAAATACTGCATCCTACACTACACTCAATTTAACTGAATGTGTTTCATTCCAGCCTCTATCTTGCAACTCCACACCGACATTTTGAACACTGTCTAACTCTTGCTTTAAAGGACATTTAAGAAATACACATTTGTTTTTGTGAAATGATCAATGATCAAAAACCAGCTCCAGTAAATATAAAGCCACATCCAACAACTGGTTAGCTTAGTATAAAGCTATTGTTTTTGTTTGTAATTTTAAAGACAATAAATAAACCAACATGTTAACATGTAGGCTCTGGAGATATAGGAAGTCACATTTTGTTACCATTGGACAGAGCCAGTATTCTCTGCTAAGCTAATTAGCTGCTGGCTTTAGCAACATATTTGGAAAAGAGACAAGAAAGTTTCCTCAAACTGTGGAACAGTGAAATCATGTTGATGTTAATAAATATTTATCTTTAAGTATAACATTTACATTTTCATATAACTTCCTTTTATTCCCTGCTGCTTTATGATCTGTTTGTTTTCTTTCAATTAAGCCCCCTAAAGTTTATGAATACATATTATTATTATTTCCAATAATGTGTTTTATAAAGTGAATTAATTTACATCATCACCACATAACCCAGCCTTTATCTATCACCATTTGAGCTATTTACTTTAAAAAAAGGGAACATTCTCATTAATTTACCCCAGCGAGAACAGCCTCGGTCTGATCTTGAGTCCTGGCAGGTGCCAGATTCCTCCTCCGCTCTGCTTTCTCTCTCTCCTCCTCAATCACTTCTTTCAGGATGTCATCTATGTCTCTGCTCTTTAACTGTGTCGTCTGAGCCAACGCCTCCTCTAATAACTGACTGCAGGGCGAGGAGGTCATACTGTAGTTCACAGGTTCAAGTTGGTCACTCGGCTCATTTTCTTCTGCCAGTGGAGAGCGGACAACTGGAAGCTGCGTGGCGTCAGCAGCGGGAACTTGTGGCTGCTGGACGGGGCTGCTCTCTGGACTGGGGGGTAAATCAGGCTGCGGCGACTGGGAGACAGAAGGTGCTGGAGCAGGGGGTGGCTCCACCTGCTGAGGATGTTTGGTACTTGGAGGGGCTGCAGTTGACTGAGGGGTAGGAGCTTTCTGTGTGTGGATGGATACAGGCTTCTGACCCACCGGGGCCTGAGTAACCACGACAGGAACATTGACCTTGTAAAGTTGACCTTAGTGAGACAAAAGAAGAGAGTGAAGTGTTATTTCTACTAGTTGGTCCAGGCTGGAAGCTTCAACAAATGTTAGCCCATAGCAGGTAAAGTCATTTCATACCAGAGGCTGTTTGTAGAGTGACTCCTGCTGGTATCTGCACAGGGTAAGCTAACCCAGCAGGGAGAGAAAAAGTAGCAAGTGTCTCTGAGTTGTTCTGCAATTAAACATTGTGTGTAAAGGAGTTAAATACTTTACTATGACAACCATCTCAATGAATCTGTGAGGTTGATGACTTTAGACATTGATGACTTTAGACTTTAAGAACTTTCAGGTTTCAGGGAAATAAAATTCTGTACAGTATCTGTACATACAGGTTATTTTTCTTCTTTTTCACCTGAAACTATGAATCCTTGTTTCCATTAATGTAGGAGTCGTTCATTTGAAAAAAAGGGGAAGTTCAGACCACACGAATTGAGACAGGCACAGTTCAGCTTACTATATTTCAATGCTATAAATCTAAACATTTTGCATTTGGTAGTGATAACATTTAACAGCAAGAATTCTGATGCTTATATGCTTGCTCTCGTGTAAGGAGCCATTTAATGTCATGGAGGTCATGCACTGTAAACCTGGATTACACTTGCCTTAATCGGGAAGCTGTGGATACTCTGACTCGCAGGGATCACGACTGAGGCTGGCAGCGGAAATCAGAAGAGAGCAGGTGACGCACGCACATGCACGCACACGCACGCACATGCAAGCACCCACACACACAAAGTTATGTTTCTAACTCTACACACACTCTGCATTAACCATCTTGGGATAAGTTGAAATGTAACCTGCGAGCTCTTGGTCCATCTGGCCATAGCTGTCTGGGAGCTGGAGCACAAAGTTGGATGAGTTGATGTTATTCTTCCTGAAGTCTTCCATAGCCTTAGACTGCATCATCTTTGACTCCCAGAGCTGCACAGAGCAGAAGAGACAGCAGTGTGTCTTCCTGCTGTGGTGCACACTTCCCTCCTGCATTATACAACTTTGCTGCAACTGACAACCACAGTGAAGATGTGTGCTATGGTTTGCTCACATGTCTTAGATCATCCAGGACGCGGTCTTCCAGCCCTTCATCCAAGAAGAGCTCCCTCATACTCTCGATCACATCATCAATTATGGACAAGTAGAGTTTGGCCTGAAGTGGGTTACAAACACTGGATGAAGAGATTCATTAAATAACCAAACTCCTTTCAGAAATCCGCCTTTTCTGTGCATTCCTTCTGTAAAACACAGACTCATGTTCCTCAATGTAAATGAGGACATTTTCTGAACAAGTCAAATACACTCTTCCCTTCGGCATACATTTAAGACATCAGAAGCACATAGTGCTTCTTTAGTATGTATTTTTTGTTTTTACTTCAGATCAGAATCCTCATTCATTCAAGTCAATCAAACACGAACTGAGTAAATAGCTGGAGGCTAACGGTGAAGCTAGTTCACACACGACTAGATAGTTTTGTTGTGAGTTAGCTTTTAGCACAACGGGCTAAAAACAAACAAAGCTTACCACCGGGCCCGTGTTGGACAACATGGTTCTGAAGACAGCTGGACTTCCATCAAAGTGGAAACATGAAGTTAATGCTGGTTTGATGCTGGTGCTTGTTTTGCCTGCAGCTCCTTGATGAACACAGGTGACAGTGATCAGGCTGCACAGGGGTGCTCCAAGCTGTTCCAGGGCACCTAGGGGCCCCTACACCTAAGCCACCCCCCTTTTGTATTAAAATTATAAACATAAGCGTATAGTGTGCATCTACCAACTAAACCCACAAATGTCTGTCTCTATGTGGTACACATAGATCACAAACAAATCATGTTATTCTTGACTTTACAATTTGGTAAAATGTTAAATATTTATAAGAATATATATAAATAGGTGACCAGCGCTCTGAAGAGTACAGTGGGGGCGGAGCAATGTGCCTTCAGTCTATTGACGGAGGTGAACATGTCTTCTTCTACAGCAGTGGTCGGCAACTGGGTCAAAGTGAAGATCAAAAATTGCCCCCAGATGATTTGGTGATTGGATTACTTTTATTTCACCATATCGCACCAGTGCAGATATTCACAGGTGTGCTGTGCTGATCTCTGTCTTGGCAACAACATAAGTAAAAGCAAAATGTCAGTTACGTTGCTGTAGTACTTTAATGAGCTGAATTGTAAAGCTTTTATTTTGAAAAGTTGTGCACTTAAGTCTGATTGTGCAGATTGTGTAACAGACCTCTGAAATAGCCAACATGCAATGTATGTAAAAAATAACAGCAGTTAAGAAAATAAGAAAATGGTAATAAAGCAAATTCAGTCCATTTTAAGAAAAACATTGACTCTAAAATCTTCATTGTAGATAAACCAGGTAGGGTAAACACAAACTTTTCTAACTACAATCTGCGCCATAGACTGTTTATAAAAAAAAAGCACTGCACACAATTTCCATCGTGAAAACAAAAAAAGGGACAGCTTATTGTTTGCCTTGGCATCAGTGCAGTTTCCTTTGCATAGCCCATCATAAATTTGAGGGGGTACTCACAAAGTTTACTGAGGAACGTAATCAGCTGTTTTCCGGGGGCCCCCCTCAGCTTTACGCCCCAGGCAATCTTCTGCTTTTCCTGCCCTGTTGCAACAACCCAACAAAGTAGCAATAGTACTGTTTAATGTACTAACAGCAGGGGGTGAAAATGGTGGGTACCCCTGCAGGTCATTTTACTGGAGCCTCAAATACCTTAATTTAGCAACAGTAAAACCAACAGATGAAAACACAACACAAACACCCTAATGCTGTACATGGCTTCAGTGCCTGAGCAGTGGCTTATCTCACACATGTAGTTTCAGAGAGCTGTGGTTACCCAATGCCTCAAAGATATTCCTGTCCAACAGAACATTTCCATTATAGCTCTCTGCTTACTTTCAACAGAGAGCTTACACTTTTTCACAGTGCATGGTGCACAGTACAGTGTCTCATCCCATGAGTGCACATGGCAGGAGTTAAAAATACCCCCCCCCCCCTTTACAAAACGCTTGTTTTTTTAACTCTGTGTTCAATAGATTTGCAGCAACAGCAGGAGCCGTGACCCCTTGAGCATCTGATTGGCAACGCTAGCACTCTTTTAACACCGTGGGCTGACTCCTCTGATGAGGATGAGGGCTGAGGCTGAAGAGCAGCAGCACCACACGGCAATGTTGTTACTCCAGTCGCTGAAACCATCAGGCACACACTGATAGACAGCTACTGTGGACTGAGTTAAAGGATTCACTTGGTGTATATAAGAAGATGACATTTCATATATTATCCTTCATAGACATGCACACAGCCAGTTTCTCCAGGTTATTGGGACTATAACCAAGTCTTGCTTTTGCTTTCAGAGGATAACTATTCCTTCATTACGCATGTTAGACATCCATCCAACATCTATACCATTTATTCCTGGTAGCCAATCCTATACAAGTCAATCCTGGCTGACATTGGGTGAGAAATGGGGCCAACAACCATTCACACTCATGTTCACACCAACTGACAATTCAGTCACCAATTAGCCTAACCCCAATCTTCTGTGTAACCACTGTGCAACCACGCCGCCCCTTAAAATAGACAGAGATAGAGATTTTATGCTTTTGCCACATTCCAAGATGCAATTAATGCTTTGGGACTTAGTTTAACAAGCTATAAAAAAAGTTTAATGTTTTAGTAGAGGAAGTGAGAATAGGGAACTTTATTCCAGCATGAAGAAGTGCCAGGAGTCATAAAGGTTTATTTCAATTTTTAATCTTGATGTACATAATATCCAGCTTAAGCCAGGTACCTCATACATACAAGTCATCATTGAAGGCCTTGTTCACCACAAAGTTTCACCACTCTTTTCCATTCGACCTATCCACAACCCAGATGCAGAAAAATCACATAATAAAGATTTGATTTGTTTAAATAACGTTACTGTTCTCCAGAGATACAAACTTGGTATAAAGTCAAAGGTCAGCTCGAGGTAAGCAACAAAAGTAATGAGTTGTATTCATGTTAAGAAAAAAAATATTCTCACCCTTAATTATAATATTAGTACCCTATGTTGCATAGCATTTTTACACAGTAAAGTTTGTGTAAAGCTGTTACTATGAATGTTTCAAAAATCTCTCTGAAGGTGGAATATACTGCAGGTTAATCAGTCTTGTTAGTGTCTGGATAACTATAAACCGCAACTTTCACTTTGTAAGTGCACTTTGTGTGTATTTGGTAAAAGCATAATAGTTACCCTTCAAAACATGAAATTATTTTGTAGCCAATGCACCTGCAATTAGGGTAAGAAATTATTTAGTTGTGTGTTGGTCTCATGTTGCTGTGAAAACATTGTAATGTGTAAACACTGTGATTGCTGCTCTGTGACACTGTGAACCAATGGTTTTGTGTGATTAAATGTGTTAACATTATTTTGACACATACTGATGCATGGGGTTACCTATGTGCTGAGATTCTTAGAATAATATTACTGTTTACATTGAGAGCAATATTCTGACTTGACTTTATTCTGATTAAGACATTACTATGATTAGAATGTTTATGAGTTGCTAATAGAATATTTCATTAATATCGTCATTTACATGTGACAGTACATAGTCTGATTATGACTCATACAAGCTGTGAAAAATGGAATAGAACCTTATATTGCTATAATACGTATACATGTCTACATTATGCGACTAAGGTCAGAAGACTCCACATATCCTGAGCATGACCTTATTCAGGTTAAGGTCATCTAAAAAAAAAGGTTTACATGACAAAGTCTTATTGAGACTATTGTCTTAATTGCGCAATTTTAATATTGGTTTTCATGTAAACGTGTCTTCTGCCAAAAATTGTTTAGTTCAAATGCAGAGGAGTTGTGGCCAAATGAATCAGTTTATAACTATGTCATGTTAAACAATGCACGGCACAAACAAGGGTCGGACCCTAAACCCCTGCTGGTAATTTGTTTTTCTAACACACAGTGAATATTTCTCATTACTGATGCCTTTTATCTCATTCAGTCTGTTTGGCAAACCTTTGTTGCCAATCATTCTGGAGAGCAGTGCAGATGATGCAAATGCAAGCTTATATACAGTACTCATATAAACCGTAATCTTACAATTTATTAATCTATTACATGTAAAGTGCTAGGTAAAATGACCATGTTAAGTTTTGATTAGGTCTAGACTAATTCAGTCTCAATTAAATGGATACAAAATTGGTTACCAGGCTATGTGTAATTAGATGAATGCGACACCGGATATAAGCAGAAAGTCCCTCATCACCCTTCTTTTTGTTCTTTTTTTTGTTATCCCTTTTTACTATGGAAAAGATTTTGGGAAATGTCTTAGACCAAGAGGATAACGTCGTCTTCAGAGCTTCTTTAATCGTCACTGTGTCATACAGCCAGATTGCCTCTCTGGCTCTGTTTCAATCCATTTCTTCTCCACTTCCAGCTAAAAAACACAACATTAAGCAAGTTGCACATTAAAATGGGGCGCATGCATTGAGACAAGACACAATACTGCTCTTCGATTAAACATCTTACCTGACAATGATAGCGTGTCCAACTGGTCAGATGTTTCTGCGGCTGGATATCATTCGTGGTGCCCAGAGACTTCACCCTGGTCTGTGACACGACTGCTCCCATTATTTCACATTCCATCGTGACGAAAGGGTACCAGTCATTTGGGATCTCCTGATCGGATCCCAGCTCCAGCTTGCAGGAGAATGAATGGGGATGATCCACGGCTGCAAAAAAGAAAAAAGGTCACTTGTAGTTAGAGTGTTACACCACTAAGAGGCAAACATACTGTGAATAAGCACAAGTAACTGGGGCCAGGTAGTTAATAAGAAACTGATTTGTTTGGCTGTGGTGCAGGGGGGCTAAAATTAATCACTCAGAAATGTGTTACCCATATTTTTTGCTGGCAGCCTCTCGATCCTCCACACGATGGCTGAATATACATTCTCATACTTGACAGTGCCGATGGACACCTGCATGACAGGTTGCGAGTCTGCACTGCTGACAGAGCCCAAGCAGGCGTTTCTGTTCATACGGGCTTTCAGTGACCTCTGTCGCAGCAAGGCCACTGTCTGTGTCACTTTGACCCAGTCGCCTGGCACTGGCACACGGATCACTACATTCTCACACAGCGGGTACCTGTCAGACCCCCCTACAGAAGAAAGAAAGCTTGCCGACATGTTGAGAAAGGCCTGGAGCTCCACATAGGCACCTTGAACTGTGACCACCGCCTTGATTGAGAAAGGAATTTCTGTGCAACCCAGAGTCGTCGTCTTGAACCTCATCAGCTCAACTCTGCAGGCGTCAGGGGGTGAGAACTTTATCAGTCGGGACCTCGCAAACTCTGCCTCATTTACACATTTGTGGAAATGGCAGTCGGCAATCTCCATCCAGAGTTCGTTGCCCTCGTCAGACCCGTAGCTGGAGTTACAGCGCAGAAGCCCAAGATCATTAAGGGCAAGAAAACAATCCCCTAGTCCATTCAGAAAAGCAAGACAGTGAATCTGGGTGAATCCTGTCCGCTCTATGACTCCTCCCGACTTGTCCAGTTGTACCCAGATATGATCAGTGATCTGCAACGACAGCTCCTGCTCCTCGTAGTGCCGCCGTTGCTGATGGGGTAGACACAGTTTGAAGATTTCCTCTTCCATGGTCACTACCAGGTCCTCCATGTCATCATGCACTGTGGAGCCGAACTTGAGCAGCTGGTCCACCTCTGCCTCATGACTAACATCCAACTTCGGGTGATAGCGTTTCTTTTCTATGTAGGAGTAATGCTCCACCTTGACTGTGAGGACTTTGCGGGGCTCACCGTAGCTTTCCAGTTTAAGGTCAGAGAGCCTAAACTGTGGGAGAAGCTGGAACTCCTTGTATGGCTTCTCCAGCCCTTTCTCATAGTACATTTGCAGCACACCACCCGGCAACAAGCGGAGGTAGATAGGGCCCCACTGTCGAGAGGACATACGGTTCTTTTTTTCAGGAATCCTGAGCATGACAGACCAGCCGTCTCTCTTCTGCGTACGAAACAGACCTCGGGGAACAAACTGAGATGAGTCCTCACTTAACACCTCGGTTTTGCAACTTAGACGCCTCTGCCCATTTTTTTCTGTCTCTGTTTCATGGTCTGTTTGTGCTCGTAAGCCTTCTAGTTTGTGGCAAACATAGGAGAAAGAGCTCTGGAGTTGGTCACGTGGAGGCTCGTGGCCGTCTTTGGTCCGAATAAAGAAACGTGGTAGGCTGTTGTCACATTCTGAGTCAGAGGAGGAACTGTCCACATCTGCACTGTGTCTAGATCCATCCCAGAAAGGATTATAGTGTCCTGAGTTCCCCTGGAAAGAAGGAAAAGGGCTTGGTCCATCTGAGGTTTGACTTAAGGCCTCTGGTGCAGGAGAAGGGGCAGAGGTGGTCGATGCGCTGGACAAACTCTGGAAGAAGTTGTTCCTTTCCCATGTGCTGGAGGGAAGCGAGGACACGCCGCTAGGTGCCCCACTTACAGGAGTGCTAAAGGGTGTGTTACATGGTACACAGGAACTTCCACTAAGACTTGAGTGGCTTTGAGGGGATTCCAGGGAAGGACTGAAGCTCCATGAAGTGTCTCTGATTGGAGGAAGCACTAATTTCAGACCATTGGGACGTGGTACAGAGGCTTTGATAAGGCCTGGTGCCTGCAAGGGCTTCTGAGATGAGGCGAGGGGGGTGTTGTCATCTTCAAATGTGACCCAGTTTGAATGATTGGTAGAACACATGGCTGCAGATGACTGGTGTCCGCTCCCCCCCCAAAAAAAACTTCCTCCTTTGCTGGATTAATTATGCCCCACTTCAAGACCGTCTCTTCTGTAAGAGAACACATGAGAAGAATTAGATAACAATGAAATAACTGAAGATATTCCAAATGTAGCATTTTGAAAAGATCAGTTCTCAACTTGAAAGTATGAACAAGTCCACTTATGCTGTCGGTAGAAAAGAAAGCTCTTGGGGGTATAAATAAAACATATTTCCTTAATGTACTCCATGAAAGCTTAATGAGAGACTGACCTTGAAGCCCTGGAACAAGTTCATATGTGTTAACACCACAATTAACTAAAGTTCAATTGAGTGGAAGCTGAAGCAGGCACTCTGCAGTTCAGAGACGCAGCAGGAGATTTTCCCTGTCACACCACAGACTCTTCCCTTTTGTAAATTTTTTAAAACTTTTTGGTGAATCTTTCATGCACATATTTATCAACTGAGCTGTCTGGCAAGTTCTCAATCACAACAGTGTGAACAGAGTCACAGAGTTAGCTATAAAATGAGAAATAAGCCCGCAGAGATCTTTGATTATCACTTCCTTGTAATTTACACGAGTGTGTTTATTTAACACTAATTTGAACTGTGAGGTTGAAGCAAGGGGTATTTTTCTTAGTATTATAATACATTCTCTATAATACTGTGAGGTATTATACCTACCATGTTAAGACTCTCAAGATAATGTATGTTGTGATTAGGTGCATTACAAATTAAGTTGAATTGAAATGGGTGAGGCAAATAAAACATTACCATGTTCCCACTGTAATTGTGTTTACAATCTCAGAGCCCACTGGCTATCTTCAAATGACAAATTAGCCTCTCGGGACAACGGCCAATATTTTGGGACTTTTGGCGTAGACAGTGGATTTACAGGCCAGGGGTCCATCTTCTATTCACTGTTTACAGTTCAAAGGGTTTTTTAATTAAATCCCAACAGTCAAACGTTTATACACACAAAACACAAACAGTGGTACTGAGGTGTTTTAGGTCCAGACGACATTTTGGCTAATCTCTATTATTATTGGCTTCTTAATTGATATGCGTTCATATGCAGATCTATTATTTGTTCCCCACACGTGCTGTTCACCTGCCGGCAACCAAAGCCTGGCTTCCAGCCTAACCATGTTCACATGCAGAATTAGTTTATAAAGATCCAAACGTCCTGAGGTCCAAATGGTTCAACTAAACCAAATGTGCTTAACAATTGAAATATCATTTGTGTCCATATATTCCAACAAATTGACTCAGAGTTCCTCACAGAGTTGTGATTTGCAGCAGTGATGCATTTTTAACCCCTACTAAAGCTGAGGCGTATTTTACAATGCAGGGAGGACAAAAAAAAAAAAAAAAGGTTCAGAGAGAAGGAAATGTTGCCGTTTTCAAACAAGAGGAATAAGTTACTCCATTTTTGGAAGTTCAAAAGTCGGATACCGCAAATTGATGAGGTAAAATGTTGTATTCTATATATACACCGTGCTTTGAAATGAGCATAAGCTAAATATTTCATTGCAAGCCTGCTTTAAAATGCAGGTGAGAGAAGCCATTGCATCAAAGACCTGCTCTAAAATGCAAGTGAGAGATGTTAGCCATGGTGGCAAAGATCCCACCTCATTCATCAGCATGAAGGCGGCTGTGAGAAGCAGGTATAACGTGGCGCAGCAGCTGATGCAGCACCGAGCTACACATAGGGTACAAAGCCAGTTAAATTTGGAAGGCGCCTCTGGAAAATGAATGGTTTTAGCCAGTCTGATATTAAATCTACAGAACATATTTCAATACAGGTATTCACTGAGGACAAAGTGTGGGAATTACTGATGACTGGTGGTAGTCAGGCTAATCCCACAGATAACTGTCCTGCTACTCGATCACAATCTGTCTTTTGATGTCCTCTCACTAACATATGGCTCTGAAGCTTCAGAGAAGCCACTTTCAAGATGCCAACACCTCATGTCCCCATTAAAAAATGAAAAATAATTGAAAGCAGACAGCCGCAATTACAGCCTCCCTCCTCCCTCCAGGATCACAGCCATGTGATTGCATGACGGACATAATTATTGGCAAGTTCCTCTAAGCTATAAATAAACAGGGAAGTGGGGGCTCTGGTTCAGGGTAGTGGATTGACAAGTCTTCAAACGCCAGAGAACATCTTTGTAATGAGAGGATGTTTGTGGCGGCGCACAGACGTTTCCACAGGTTCATCCCTCCTCTCCCGACTCAAAGAATCCCTCGGCTTTGGTTCAAAGCGACAGGCACAGAGAAGTATGAGCTCTTTGCGGGGGGTTACTGAACAGACTCTCAGACTGGTTTCCAGTCGCTCGTCTCTTCCGGGGCTCTGCAGTGGGCAGTGCAGAAATGAGAAGCTGCTAAATCTACAGAGGACAAAAGAATACATTCCGCGCATTCCTCTGGGACAAGCAGCGTTGCACACAGGAAATACCAGCCTGCTGGATCTGTGTGAACTGACAACAAATATTATCTTAATGTCACTTTTTATCAAATTTCTAAAGTGCACCAGAGTTACAGGTCATCAATTCTGCTGTGTCTGGCTATTTATCACCTTCAAACTAAACTAAACAGTGACAAAGACGGAAATAGAGGATTAGAATAGACATTCATTTAACAAAATGAAAAGTAATAAGGCACTTTATGATCATGAGGAATTACTTTTAGAATTTCATTTTAGAATACAAGTTTCTCTCCCAAACACTGTGCAGGTTTGTTCCAGGTCAAATTGCAGCACTGCAATTAAAAACAAACAGTAGGCTAATCCCACGGGTATCTCAGGTTCCTCATCACTGATTATTACTGTACTTAGATTAATTACTGCACTTGCTATACCTGGCGTAGGCAGAATAACCCGCACACCTCATGGACAACACCTTAAAGTCTAAAGTACCTTAATTATAACAATTATTGGGTCAAACCAAGTCATTATACGTTGCCAAAGAGGCGCATTTGTCGGCTTTAGAAAAGCAAAGTCAGCACTTTGATTTGCGAGCCCTAAAAAACTGCTCTGTGGAATCATCTGGAATGTCGTGAGAACTTAATTCAAACTCAGAGAGATTGAAACCTGCCGAAAGGAACAATCATGAAATGAAACTGTCTAAATCAGGAACAAAACTATACTTAACATGATCTCAATTAACACTGGATCCCTTTGTTTTTGATGACTGAGAGGAAACTATTGAGGTTCAAGGATAAAACTGCTGCACACACACACAGACACACGGACATTGGAACTTAAACTTAGCGAACAGATGCTTCCTGATGAAACAAGATCATTTCCTGTTGGATCCTCTGGATATTTACTTCACACTAGCACTAGATTATTTATACAGTCCTCTAAGAAAAACAAACAAAGTAAGACATCCTCTTGCTTAAATTGACAGGAGAGTACTACTGTTGTGACCACAATGACTATGTCATGTAAAGTGCAGAGCTGAAAATAAGAGGAGACACTTCCTCGCTGCAAAGTGAGCTGTGTCCTCCCTTTAAACACAACAGGGAACTGGGTGCAGCTCTTTTTTTTTTTTTGTTTAGTCTCCTCACACTAAAACACTCTAAATAAATCAATATTATGTAAGATGATCGATATTGTTTCATTACAGTACTCACTGCATTTGCTGTAGAGATTTGTCCCACTACAGAAAATCAAGACTGGAAAAAACCATGAGCCATGAATGAATGAGACACGTATGTTTGTGTCAATCTTTCAGGCAAGTACTTACAACACGTATCCACTGTTTGCTTTGCGTGCTGTAATGAAATAGAAGTTAATTCTTTTTGATTAGAGCCCGACAGATTTGTTGCTGAGTTGAGCTTTTCACAGACTTATTGGTATCGACTTTTATGACATAAATAATATGAAAACTACAACATTTGTTATTGTTTTTTCATTGTGTTTTCCTAGTCCAAGCTTTAACACGTTACTTTTCTCTCTCTTTTAGGTTTCATACATGTCACCAACCGAGCATCTACAGGCTAACTTCACACAAAGTGCCATTAAAGTTGCACAGATATAATACAGATCTCTAAAATCTTGAACTTTATGGTTAAACTGTTAAACATCAAACCACAGATATCTTATCGTGAGGGTTTCTCGTTAATATCAGTCACACAGTCTGGATCTAATGTTAAACCTCAGTCATTCTGGCATAAGCTCACTGACTCATGGAAAACACACGTTTACAGATGTGTGTTTCTGAGTAATCTTACAACGGGACTGTGACTTTGTTGTCCAGCTCCACGAAAACTGAAAAGTTGATTTCAGAAACAATGAATCTCAGCATTCAAACACTGGGTTTCTGCTGCTGCACCTTGGCTGGGAGCAGCGTTAGCCAACATAGAACATAGCTCAACGTTAGCTAATGTTAGCAAACTTTATGACACTTCGCTATTGTCCACTCCCGCTACTGTCCCCACTGTAGCCACAAGTGAATTAAAAGCAGTTTCCCTGATTTCAGCTTCAGAACTGGTTCAGAACAGTGTCGTCTCCTGCCAAACTCCATGAGAAAAACTGCACATTTAAGTGTTCAGCTGTAAAAGTGTGATTGAAGAGAGAAACAAACTGGATCATGTGTAAATAAAGTGAATCTTTGTTCTTGTTACTCCCTCACAGTGTGGGGTCACTAATGTCTAACACACCAGTCACCGGGTAAACGACATCATTTGTTTCCCCCCCTCACAGAGACTGGAGAAAGCAAACACAAGCAGCGTGCTGTCACCCTCCTCACAGCCGGGCCTCGGGTCCATGTCCCCGGACACCGACGCCCCACTTCCCCGCCGGCAGCTCCGCTCAGCGCCGTTGTTTTGATGCTAACTTGTCGCTCCGCGTTTTTACTCCGGTCGCTCTTTTACTTTGCGGGGAGACGCACTAACACGCGCCAGCGACCGAGCTGACAACAAACTGAGTCCACGTCCACTTTGTAACATACACGCTGTTTCTAACATGGAGTCCGGTTAAAAGCAGCAACACAAACTCACGGAGTCACAGAGGAAGTTCACGGGTCCGGGTCATGACTCCTCCGCTCTGCTCCTGATGTCCGCCGGTTTGCTCCAAAATGGCAGAGAGTAAATCCTGCGAGTTATAACAGCGATTCCCCTCCCGACTACACACACACACACATGCGAACGAACACACACTCTCACACACTCTCTCTCTCACACACACACACACACACACACACACAAACACACACACGGGACACTGCAGGAATGAACACACTGCTGCTGCCTTCACGACTGTAGGAAATCTCTCCATCCGGACATTGGGCGCGCACGTTAACAACAACTCGAGCCAACACACAACAAACACAAACCTTTAGGGTGAATGATTACAGATCATTAATAATGGGCCAGTTGGTTGTGTAAGCATTGTCAGAAGATTAAATGTGCTTTGATTTAATGTTTTCTCATGTTCATTTTTTATTCTGCTGAATTAAATGAATTTCAGAGGTCAGGGTCTAGGCAGCATTCAAATAAAATAAGACTTTCATCATCATCTACCTCCTAATCCCACCATCGTCCGTTCTCTTGTCCTGCCTTAATGCTCCAGAGCTGCTTTATTCCTTGTCATTAGGGAGTCTGTGGTGCAGAGTGACGTTAAAACACTTTGTGTTCATCCTACATGGTTTATCTGCAGTGAAAGTGTTACAATGTTTTTTATAATATGAAACTGAATATAACTGTTCATGTGTGTGGTTTATATACAAAGTTTGAATCATTTAATTAACTATTGCTATTTTTTCATACATTGTATGTCAGCTATTTTAGAGGTCTGTTGAGCAATCCACACAATCTTCAGACAGGAGTTTACAACTGTTCCAAATAAAAGCTCTGTAATTCTGTGCGATTTAAAGCATTGCAGCAACAAAATGTGTGCTTTTATTTTGTAGAAAAATTGCTAAAGAGGCAGTGATTCTCTGAAAGTTGTTGCCATCACAGAGATCAGCACCTAAGACTGTGAAGGTCAATGTCTCAGTCCGATATGGTAAAATAAAAATGAACATTATTAATTGTTATCATTAAAATTATCTGGTGGGGATGTCTCCTGCAGTTTGACCCTGTTGTTGACCTCTGCTCTAGCTTATCCTAAGACACATGAAGAAGACATGTTCATCTCGGTCCACAGACTGAAGGCACACTGCTCCACCCCCGCTGACTGTTAGAGAGCAACTTTGGATTTAGGGTGAATCACAGACACTAAAACAGGATAATAAAAAGATAAAGCAGGCCATATATCATGAAGAATATAAGTAACCACTTGTCTTTTCATCATGCTCACTTAAGATACACAAAACTACTTCAAAGTCTGTCCTGTATTAGAGAAGTAAAGACATATATTTTGAAGCAGGGGATTTGGGTGGGTCACTAATAATAATAATTCTGCAGACTCATGTGCTTGGTGGGTTGAAAATAAGGATGAAAACAATAGTTTTTTCAGTATTTCTGCCTGTATCTCTTCAGTGTACAAACAAGTGGTAGTTATCACTACTTTTTATTGCTTCGACCTCTCCAGCTGAATACCCAGAGTACATGAACGCATCATAAATTCCACTAAATTGACAAGTTCCCCCTTACAAAACAAAGTGACGGCATCAAACAGTAATCCTCCACTTCTCATATGTCCTGTTTAATGGCGCTGCCTCAATTCTCAGTGGTGAGGGTGTGTTACAGGGTGTTTTTTTTTTTTTTTTAAATGCAATTTAAAATTCCAGTCTCCCCCAACTCCCTAAAATGTTGCATGAAAAGTTAGGTCAGCATCATTACTGAGCAGATAAATCTGAAGACGCATTTTAGTGTCGAGCAAGCTCTTTATTATGTGACACATATTTATATGTGCTTTTCGATGGGTTACACTGTGAGAACACAAGTATTCTTTTATCAGTTCAGGGCTGTGTTGGTAAATCTCTGTGATTAAGAGGTTTGCTGGCAAGTGAAGAAGGTTTGAATAGTCATCATCACTGCTTCTTTTCTTTCAGCTGTCTCGTGTCACTACAAGCAGGAGACATTCTCTTTTACTGTAAATGCTCACTGCACTTTGCCATGACTCATGAACCAGATTGCTCAAGCAGCACTGGCACTGTGTTGACTCCTGTATGACAACTCCCAGGAAACAGGCCATGAGATAAATGAATGCAGATTTAGTTTTCCCAATTTTGTGTAAAATAAAGATTTGTAACCTCTGGATAAATGCCTTTTATATATATTTTGTAAGAATTATACAGCACAATTATATCATGATTTGAAATGGGTGAATATTCATGTTAACCCTTTTTATCCATACATATTACAACATGAATGTAGAGACTGGTGCCTCGCCAGTGCACATCCACACTGACTTTGGTGATAAAAACGCCTTGTAACTTCACAGAGACAGACTGACACCGTGTTACGAGCTCCGACCTGCCCATCTCACCCTTTTTGTCTCGGTAGACACCGATAATCAGAGCTTCAGGGCAGACTTCTTTTTTTCTGTTCTCCTCTTTGAGAGGATTGAAATGTTCCCAAGATGTAGAATTACTTCAAGTGTGTCTCTGTCATTTGTTCATTCGGGGTTTAAAGCCCTTCTTCATAGAAGCTCATGATGTATGGGTGTGTTAGAAGGGCTATTTTGCTTTATGAAGACATTGGAACCATTTGCATTAATAGTCTCAAATTTGATCTAAAAAAAAATCTAAGCGTAAACAGTACGAACATGTTGCACAGCCTGGTGCCACAGTCACAAAATGACACAACACACATACAGCAACACCGACATTTGCTCTGTTCACCTGCTCTCACAGATGAGCAGTTTCATTTCTCTCACATGTACACAAAGCGGGAAATGTACACACACTGATTGGTCTTCAAGTCTTGACTTGAGTGAGCAACTTCTACAGTTGTCAGCTGTTTATCTTTCTCTTTCTCAGGAAAGCAGTTTCTCTCCCACTCTGCCTGGTGCAAAAGGTCAAGTAGCAGCTTCCGGTGCAGTTTCAGAAGATTCAGCTGATTTCTTCAAGGAATCGTGTTTGTTAAAACTGGTGCTGTGTTGAGGAAAAGGGGGGAAAACAGAAGCTTCTTCAGTCAAACGCGTTGCAGCCTCAATGCAGTTCACTTGTACTTCCACTGTCAGCAGAGGAATCTGAGGCTCATGTGACCGTCCTGTGGTTTGGAGACAGTGGGTGTGTTGGTACCAGGACTCTGCCAGGAGGCTCCACAGTCCAGCTCATCACTCAAGGTGACCTTTGTGACACCAAATGGAGCCAGAGTTTCGAGAGCAGCTCTAGCGACCTTTGTTCTTTTTGGCATTTCCCTAAGGGAAACAAAAAAAAAAACACATGACTCAGTTCACACATCCAGGGTTAGGATTAAAAGCACTGTGTTGGATTCAAGTGCAGTAAGCAGACATGGCTCAGGTTTGATTTCGCATTCTGTTCCAAAATCAAAAGACATGCCGAGGCTGGTTTCTGGACTTCAAGAGAGAAAATCATAGCCAAGCGTGTCCTGTCCTGCAACTTCCCAACATGCAGCAGTGTGTGTGTGTGTGTGTGTGTGTGTGTGTGTGTGTGTGTGTGTGTGTGTGTGTGTGTGTGTGTAACATGCAGGAGCATGCTCGCTTTGAAAGGCCTCTCCGTTTCTGCAGCTTGAACTTAATGACTATTTCAGACAGTTCCTGCAGGTGCTGATCCCATTAGACCCACGAGCAACCTCCACACACCACAGCTGACCTCCCCGGTTCACCTCATAACTGACAGAAACTTTACAACGTCACATTTTGCTGAAACTATCCTTCACACTCTTTGAAGAAGTTCTGTTTTATCACTGCTCTTTAGCGATGGACCATTTAGATTTATTTACACAGAGTGATAGTGTGGCCGCTAAAAACAAACTTGAATTCAAAAGCCGGAAAAGCAGAAATAACAGAAATCTGTCTGTGTGTACCTTGCTGCCCAGTTTGAGCGTGTCGATTTCCTCTCTCTGCTTGCTCAAAGTCTCGTTCATGCTGCACAGGTGGTCGCTCATCATGCTGAGCTGGTCCTCATAGCTCCTCTTAGTTGTAGTCAGTTCATCCTGGATGACAGAAGACACAGTTACAATATGAGTGAGGAGGGAGGCTGATGTCTATACTTAAACTGGAAGCTCTTTCACAAAGTGACTACATTTTACCTGCAAGCGTGTGATGTTCTGATTAGCCACTTTGACCTCTTCGCTCAGTGTCTCCCGCGATTTTTCTGCTATGGCTAATCTCTTGGCCAAAGCGCGACACTAGGAAGAACAAAAGCAAAGTAAACATCTGCTTTCCGCTGATACATTTCTCGCACAGTTTAGAGAAAAACTGCAACAAACATTTCTTTGGAAAATGCATCCATTTTAGGATAGTGCCGAAAATGCACACAGGGAAAAAGTGACAGTTTAATACCTGAGATACAGACTCAAGATCAGGAGCTTTCCTGTTGCTATGATACAAAATGAGGTTGACTGACATGCCAGTTAGTCACAGTGCCACAGGAAGTCACTTAGACAAGCATCTAAATTCAGATCAAGCTTCAGTGTAACACAAAAAATATATTATGCCTCAGTTTGTGAGTTTAAAAAAAAGGCAAACATGGTAATTATGTGAGAATAAAAAGAAGAACAAAGTTAACTTCTGTTTCTGTATTATAGAGGCAGACATAAAATAGTCGTATAGTTGTATTTATAGAAAGAAACACAAGGGAAGTGACTGTTCTGTACTAAATGTTTAGAGAGGTTATAAGTTTCCATACCTCTCTCCGGATTACATGAAATGTTACAAAGGCTATGTGCGATCAAGAGTTGCTTTAAGATGCGGTTAATAAAAGCACTGTAGTAAGAGCTTCACCTCAGAATGAAAGTGCACAGCTTTACTGTCTGAAATCTGCAGCTGGGTGGTGAGTTCTCCCACTCTGACCATGTAGTGAGTCTTTATCAGCTGCTCCCTGGACTCCTCATCTCCCACCTGCAAACACAGACACAACATCCACAGAGATAAGATGCTATTTCGATGACCAACTTTGGCAGCTCTGTTTATTGGGTAAGTGTACGACAACTCACGTGTTCAACTGTCGATGTGGTGCACAACATGCCGACCTGGAGACGACATCATAAAACAGAGAAACGTGTCAGAGAGCGAATCATAAATCAGATGTTCACAGACAGGTCTCTAACAC